AATAATGACTTGTTCGCTTAAAACTGTTTAAGCGACCATTAAAAAAACACAATCACACACACAGCTGTTTCATTTGAGCTACTGTAGAATAATGTACAAGCTGCAACAGTCTACAAGCAAATCAGATTTGATAATCCCTGGAGCGTTCTACAAGGCCTTTTCTGCAAAACAATGTGTTCCTATAGTCGTGGATTCATGAGGCTCTTTGAATTAACCAGATCTTGGCCATTTGCTTTAAACAAAAACCGCCGCTGCTTCTTCCTCTGAGTCCAGACCTCTCCATCTTCAGGTCTTCTCCATCGTCCGTGCGCTCTTGGTGGACCCCGACGTGCTCTGCGCCTTTCGGCCCTTGTCACTGGTACCCTTGGACGTGAAGCCACGCATGGCGCTGCTGCTGCGGCTCTGGCAGCGTGGTGGCTTGGAGCAGATCGCCCAGTTGCTGGACGTGCCGAATGAGAAGGACGTGCAGGTGGGGAGAGCTTTGATGTAGTGGACGACAACCTTGGGCATGCTGAGCTAAAGATGGACTGACTACAATACTTGGAGTACAGACACCTTGGAGATGCTTGGAGGAGTTCTTGTATGAATGAAAGACGAATTGGGATTTGCTTGTATTTGTTCTTAAGATGGAAGAACCCCCAGTAGTAAGCAGTGAGTGTTCAACAGAAAGTAGATGTTCGGCTCGAGCAGACTCAGAGGTTTTCTTGGTCGATCACACGGATGAGGATTGGGGTTTCATAGTTCATGGTATTTCATGTTTAATCATCATCAACTAAGGACGCTACTAGGGGCTCCTGGCATCGCTACTAGGAGCGATCGGACGCTACGAACGGGGCTCCTGGCCTTACTACTAGGAACAAGGAGCTACTATAGTAACAAGAAGCTACTATATACTTGAGGAGTTCGCCTTGTCGTGGGAGAAGAACACCCCGGATCCTTCCACCTCCTTCCTTCCCTTCAGCAGAGTTTCTTCGGCGCGTCCCTCAGGTGTATCGTCCTCGTGCACGGACTTTGGTCCTGGGGAACTGCCAAGAGGACTTGACCACCACAGCTGATGATGATGTACATATCGATTTGGATGATCACCTCTGGCGAGAGGAGGATGAGTTTGAGCATGAGCTGGCTGGATGTTCTTCAACATGTTTTTGGTTTTGGGGACACCATGAGACTCCGAAACCATGAAAGATTAAAGAACTTGTTCTGTAGTTGCGCACACAAAGAATGAACCGGTCTGGGAAAACTCGGACTCCTTCGGCAGCCTCCACTCTCCTGCCCGGATCTATTTGAAGTGCCTCAAAGTAGATCGATCAATTATCACAACATAATGATGTTTTAATTAATATATCATGATTATAAACTAAACATAACAATTAATGTATAGATAACTCCCACCTGTTCTGAATTTTAACATGTGTCAGTGTCAGTGTGATGTTTTGTGTTGTTGGATTCGTGTTCATCATTTTTCCAATTTCGGAAGACATCCACCGACCGCATTCCGAGACGTCGCACAACTTGAGGTGGTTGGAAGCCTCCGAAGCCTCGGCTTCACGCGCCTCGGCCGCCTCGGCCGCCTCGGCCGCCTCGGCCTCCGCCTCCGCTCGCGGCTCCGCGAGCCGCGGCGTGCCGTGCAGTTGCTTCGGGCGCAGCGTGCTGAATGCGGACGTGAGGGTCTTCCGACTGGGATGAGAAGCGGGCCTCTTTAGATGCCCAGATGAGGCCATGTGATCCAGGAATCCTATGATGAGGATAATAAGAAGTGAGCAAAGAGTCATGAGTCATGGTCAGCTATATATAGTTGTTGAAATGGCAGGTCTCGAGAAGGTAAGGAGCCAGTCAAGCAATTTGCAGCACTGGTTACATACACTTTGCCGGGAGATGGGACCTTGGGATAGTAGAGTCGTAGAGAGCCCAGCACACTCCTGCAGGTCAGGGCTTCCGGTCGCCCAGTGTTAGTTTTCACTCGAACAGGAATCCTGGTGACCAGCGACCATGTACATAGGGCTTCCGCGGACCGCAAGATGCCGTCCGACGAGTCGTCTCCGACCGTGTCGCCCGTGGGTCGCCCGTCCCGGCGTTCGAAAAGCCCGGCAGTCACGTGCGCGCGAGCTCCCACCAGGTCACTGTCAGTGTGAAACACCAGGTCACTGCCCTAAGAAATGGACACTTCCTTGGACAAAACATCTATGAATTAAGGATCTGCACCGCTGCATGGTGATTTGAATTAGAGTCCGAACAGATGAATCCAGGCACTCACGGGTCACCAGCCATGATGTTGATTAATGCTGGTTGCACGAGCCTCTATGTCAACCTGATCCTTCGAGGATCCACAGGGAAATACTCAGACTTTGATGCTTGTGGGACCACTGGGAGCAACTAAAGACCAGCTTTCAGAATGAACTTGCTTATTGCTTGGTGGATTGGTGCCGTAGAAACCAGTATTTCAACTTATCTAATTTCCTAGTTTGAAGGCACAGCAGGGATCTGGTTTGGGGTGCATCAGATTGACTGCAACTGTGTGGAAAAACCTTGCTATTGGCGGTATCGGGTCACCAGGTCCCTGTTAATCCTCCAGTAAATAAGATTAAATAAGAAACGATTGTACCAAGTCATGTGTTTCTGGGTCCTTGCTGCAGTCCCACTTGACTTCGTTTGGGTCGCGAGATGGGATAGAATCGATCATGATCATCCATGATCTACGACTGACTGGTCCTGGGCCCATTTAAGCCCCAAGGGGGCCCTGGCGGAACGCTCAACAGCAGGTATACATCGATCGGAAGTGGCCAACTCCTTTTCGACCTGGAGCTGATCGAAAGGACCGGCATGTCACCCGGGCGGACAAGCCGGCGTCTCGACACAGCCCGTGGCATAGCCTGTGGCCTTCCAAGAGAGAGAAGAAACCCATTGTTTGAGGAACAGTCAATATATGAAATTGACTGTTCCTCAAACAATGGATTTCTTCTATTATGTCAATATGATTTCTTCATATTTCTTCCCAATTTTGGGTGAGTGAATGTCCATCCAGACCTTGATGTATATCCGCCTCTCAGGCTCTCTCTTAATGAACTGATGACAAAACATCCGATGCCCAAGGATCGATGACCATTCCACCGACATAAGAATTCCATGGATGGATTACCACAGATCACTCTTCCAAGGATCTATATATATATATGTTTTACAGCAAGGATTTACAGCCTCTTTACAGTTTAAAGAGGAGGGATTCAATACTTTGGAACGTGATTTCAGTTTGGGTTCTTTCTTAAGCAATGTAGTGTACAGAAAAAAAGAGTTTGACCCGTACTGATTCATGCAGCCAGAACTGCGAGAACCCTTTGCTTTGATCCACTAGCAGGATGCCAAAGCAGCATCAGAAGGCACAAAGCACTCACGGCAAATCCCTCCGTCGCCCTTTCGGGCCCAGGAACCTGGCTTTCGGCCGCTTTCGGAAGCCACGCTCCGTCAGGATCCGTTTCCTGGGCATCCGCATCGCTCAGATCTCCCTGGTGGACCCCCTCTACGCTGGGTCACCGCCATCCGACCCTTGACGAAAGAGGTCGGAGAGGTCGTCCCGTCTGCTTCACTTCGCTCGGGCCGGAGTTTCTGGTAAAGCGGTGAAGCGGGTCGGAGGTGAAGAACCCAGAGCGGGCGCTCTGGGGTCCCGAAGGTCGCTATGGGAAGGGGCTGGTGGAGAAGAAAAGTGTTTCAGTTGAGGATCTTAGAGGTTTGTATGATTTGATAGTTTCTGAACAGAAATTGGGGATTCCTGTCGCATTGGCCAGAGGACACTTTGAAGCTGCCCCTGCTATAAATTGGTAGCCTGTTTCACTGTGAACCACCCACTGAGGTAGATGTCCGACGGGCTTTACGCCACTTGGATGAGCTGGTGCCACGCCACACATGTCCTCTCTGTGCATCAACCATCGAGACATATTGGATCCATATTACATCCATTTGGATCCCAAACTATAATATTATGTAAACTATATATGTTTAAAATCTATGTTCGTACGGGGTTTCTCATGAAGAGATACCTGTAAAAAAAGTTGGGAACCATGTCATGCCCCATTGTTCTATTGCTGTTAAATCATTTATATATCACCCAAGAAGACTCCCAGATCCTCCAGCTCCATGCTGGTCATCCAGAAGGTTTCGTTAGCCTGACTTGGACAGTTTGGAATAACGCAGGTAAATGATCCTGTGCAGAAGCAGCGGCATCATATCAACAACATTGATTGACTTCTATACAGCGGAAAATATATCAAACAACAGATTGTTATGCCCTTATCCAGCTTATCCAGCAATAAATAACATCACGTTGAGTATTGGACCGTTCTAGCCTTTTTATCCGTGCAGTGCGAGTTCGTTTTTGTATAGCTGCATGAGTTAATTGAAAGTCTTTGCAGCATTGGCATGGGTTTGTTTTGCTTAACACGGCCATTATTTACTAAGCTTACATATTGTTCATCATCACGATTATCAACGTCATATATATATATATCATCATATATCATAACAATAATCATCACATGTCACGTGGCAGTCTCAGAGTAATATTAGTGTGGTTCATTTGCGTCTCGGATGATGTATATATATATGTAATGTATAACAGTTTAACATCATTTGTATGTATTTGGCAGACATTTGCATGGGCAAGAGTCCATGCCCGAGATCTCAGATATACGCATTGATGCCCCGGCTACAATTATATAAGCACTCTCCCAAGAAAGAACCAAGGCAACATGTTGGGCCAGCAAACCGTGGCTGCCGTGGCTGTTGGTTGAACCATCGCATTGTATCATTCAGTACCGTACCTGCTTGTTTCACCATGTGTTTTGAACCACACTCTTCTTCAATGCCTGAGTTTAAAACACCAGCATGCTTTCGTGCATCAGTTTACGAAACACCATGATATGCGATATCAGTATAAATATTGCATATTTGCATGTATTTGTCAATTCAACCACCATAATGGCGTGTTAATACAACGGGTGACCTCCGGTCAAACGCTTTCTAGGATGGACAAACCTATTGTCAGAATCATGCAGTCGGATCAGCTTCCGAAACCTGAACAAACCTTTGATGCTGCCAGGTGGTGTGACTAAGTCTCCAATATAGTTCACTGCGTCTTGCATTTTTTTGGTGGAATCATGTGTATCGTGTGAACATCAAAGTGTCCTATAATTACTGTAAATGAACATACTGTACCATAGTATACCTGAAGTGATGAAGTTTCAATCACCTCAGCTCAAGCAGTGACAGCAGTTTGGCTCCAGTTGACATAAAATCGGAGGCCTCCACTCACCTGCCTGCATCGCCTCTTCACCTCAGGCGAGTTCACAGATTGGCAGCGGGCAGCTGCACAACTCTGCCGCTGCTTGGTGCCATACGAAGGAGGTGGGAGGAGGCTGGACCCCTCAGGGTAAACCCAGTTCCTACCCTTTGGTGACAGCACTGGAGGTGGGGCACGTCTGTGCCCGCCACTCGGCAGGGCAGGTTGAAGATAGGACCGGCTATGTCAGCGGCCGAGGACATGAGCCAGCGGAGGTCTTGGTCTTTAGCGAGGTCTGGGACTACTACGAGACTTGCTGCGCCTCGGACCGGGGACATCTGGGACGAAGTGATGCGACTGTACTGACCGACTACCCTGCTCACGCTACCCAGACCGGCAGGGGGTAGCTGTTTTCAGTGGTTGAATGCGACCGGGAAGATCGCACCCATGACTGAGATGAAGGCGATCTTGAACATATAGATGCGACTGAATATCGCAAACCAAATCCGATGTTTTTCTTGGCTTCTGAGCCATCCATACCCTGCCATGCCCACGACCTCCTGAGCCTTTTCCGCGTTTGGTTGAAGGCGGTCAATTGGAAAACATGTCGAGGAAAATTCACGCAGTGAACTGCAGAAACATTTTTTGTTCAAGGGGGAATCGATCTTAATGTATGTCAACATATTGCATGGTTTGGGTGCAAACCATGGGTTTCACGGGTGGTTCGACACCGTTGTCCAACCAATAGAGGTCACCGGATATATTCCAAACCTTCGATGAAATCACCCAGCCACCCACTACCCACATGCAAGTGTTGGTGTTCTTAGTTTTGTAGCATTACTGAACCCTGTCAAGTGATTTTTGCATTGGCTGCATCGAAGGTTCCAAGGCAGTCTTTTGCGGATGATTTGCTCCATCTCGGTGATCCACGTGTTTCAAACGCCTTGGTGATCCACGTGTGACCCACGTGTGGTCCATCGAAGCGCGCTCGTGTCTTCACACTCCCTGCCACACCGCTGTCGCTTGCGCCTGCGCTGCCACACCACTGGTTTCATCGGCCGCCTAAGGCGAATCCGATGGCGGTCTGGGCGCCTTCCCGGACGCAGATCGATACAGGCGACCGAGTAACCGCGTAGGCAAAGATAGAACCTGGAAGCTCCATTTGAATCATGATTTGTCCAATCCAATCCAGGGTGTTGCCTGGGTGACCCGCTGGATTTCACCTGACAAATTTCTCCCTCTAGGCAGCCGTGCGACCTGCTTCTGCACTGCTCGGGATGCCTAGCCAGTGTGGAAGACGAGGGGATGGGTGTGGCAGATCAAGTGGATATGTCTCCGGCACGCAACATCCGACCCATCTAAAGTTGGTGGCCGATGCATTGGATGTGACTGTGGGGATCTGAAGATATCTGGACCTTCTCACCCCAGCTGGACTGGCTCCCAAAACCAGTTTTCAGTTGCCGTGGTTTGATCGTCC